TGCTCATCGAAAGGAGCTTCAGACTACAAACGGCGCTGTCAGAGACCCTCATGTGCCCATGTATCACTTTGTTGGACGAGACGCACTCGAATCCATGCTGCTCATCGAAAGGAGTTTCAGACTACAAACGGCGCTGTCAGAGACCCTCATGTGCCCATGTATCACTTTGTTGGACGAGACGCACTCGAATCCATGCTGTAGTATGCCCGACAATCTTGTTCCAGCTACCTATGACTGAGTCGACACGTTGCCGTCGGATGAGCTTCAAGATTTACCGCTGATGCTCTTCCATGCATGGAGTTGATGTCTTTGATACTGAGTTTTTGCGATGTAAGCTTGGATTCCGCAAATGAAACTGTGACTACGTAGTCGAAGCTTTGTGCGAAGTATTTACTACCCTTAATCCCTAAACCCTAAGCCCTGAATCCCTGAACCCTAAACCCGAAACCCTAAGCCCTCAACCCCTAGACCCTAAACCCTGTGCACTAAACCCTAAACCCTAAGCCCTTAATCTCTAAACCCTAAATCCTTCCGTAGACTCAAGACCCCCGACCCGATACTTTAGCTTGGCGAGGCAAAAATAAGATCCCCAAAGGCTCCAAAGTACCTGTAAAAATGTAGGGGTTTAGGGTTCAGGGTGATTCAGGGTTTCTATATTTGGAATCCTTAATACGATGAGGGGAAGTATCCCCCATAGCAGTGCCTAGGACCCTTTGGGAGCCTATGTGGCGCTTCGGGGTACTCTTCGACTTTCCCCTAGGCCTTAGGCTCTATTTTCCCATAGTATTGGGCTAGTATTGGGAGGACTGTAGCTAGAACCCAGAACACAGTACACCGAGGTGGCGGCTCAAAGCGGAAGCCGTTGAACTGTTGTCCTCGCACGGCCGCAAACGCAAGTCGGGCAAGGCGCCTTTCTGTCCCTGCACACTAACGCCCTACACCTTAGATTTTGGAATTGTCTTATGGGTTCAGGCTTTCACTAATTAGGAGAGATGACGTTGGATTTTACACCGGTTCTTGGGCACATTGGGACTTTGGGTTAGGGTTTCGGGCTAAGGGTTGGGAGTTTAGAGTTTGGGTTTGTTCAGGCGATGGGTTGAGGATTCAGGGTATGCTTGCAACAGACGAGGATCGAGGTATTTAGGCAGCTTAGGCATGTGTGGAGTACCCTGTATGTAAGTAGTCTTGGGGTCGATTGATTTATGTTCTCGGATTGAGGTTGATGCAGGGTTCCTCCCATGAAGCTATCATGAACCCTAAACCACCCTAATCCCTAAACCCTGCACCCACCCGAATAAAACCTACAAGCCTTTAAAAACCGAACCTGGATGGAGCGGGACACCGCTATACAAGATGATGGATGTGCCCGGCGCTCCGGCTTTCAACATCGCCGTTGGCACACCCTTGTCTGGATTGTTCCCTGTGTGAATGAGGTGATCAAGCGTTTTCCATGCTCGAGGAGATTTCACCTGAGTTCATCTTCTCAACGGTTTTTGTGCTTCAGGGGGTCAAGACTCCAATTCATAAGGACTCCCGCAATGCACCGTTCCCCAACCTCGTCATACCTTTGACGCGGTTCAGTGGCAGCCAGATTTGGGTTGAAGATCCGACAGGCTCGGTCCCTGAGATGACGGACGCCTTGCGTCTAGGCCGGCCGGGACTTGGATGTGGCAAAAGGGCCCGTGACCCTAGAGGCATTTGAACGCTTTCATTTCACACCGCCGTGGAAGGGAGAGAGGATTGTGCTGACGGCCTTTGTCACAGGCCACCTTGATCACTTACCCAAGCCTGACCTGGAGGCTGCGCGGCTTTGGGTTTAGGCTTCCTGATGGTTTAGGCCCCGGTTCCGAGACTTCCGAAGCCCTTAGTTCAGGCCGCACCCAACGCTTACTGGAGCCCCATGTGCCTTTCCGACGAGATTTTTGCCGCTCCATAGCTATGCTTTTCGTGGTTAGGCTTACCTACTTGCTGTGCAGGTTCCGGATGAATTCTATATTCGGGTTTCTGATCGTAACCTGCAGCAAATTAGGGTTCAGGGTTCAGCGTGATAGCGTGGAGAGTGTTGGTGTTGTATAGGGTTCAGAGGTTGTAGGTTTCAGTAGGGTTGGGTGATAAAGCCTGAAGCTTTAAAACCGAAGCCCTTAACCCTGTCAAAGTTGCACTTTCCAGATTTCCCGTGCTGCATGTCCCTGATAGCACCCTTGTAGGACCCACGCGGCGAACCCGTACAGGAACCCCCCAGAGACTTCGGGGACCCTAAACCCTAAACCTTAAACCCGAAACCCTAAACCCTAAACCCTAAGCCTTAAACCCTAAACCCTAACTCCTAAACCCTAAATCCTAAACCCTAAACCTTAAACCCGAAACCATAAACCCTGAACCCTAAACCTTAAACCCTAAACCCTAAAACTTAAACCCTAACCCCTAAATCCTAAACCCTAAACACTGAACCCTAAACCCTGAACCCTAAACCCTAAACCCTAAACCCTAAACCCTAAACCAAAGAAGCCCTGCGAGGTTTCTTTTTGGAAGCGAGCGAGAGCGCGTCTCCTCCGCTTCGGTGGGTTTTTCCAGCGGCGCATCGTGCGGCAGGAGGGGATGAGGGGTTTAGGGTTTAGGTTTTAGGGTTTAGGGCTTAGGGCTTAGGGCTTAAGGTTTAGGGTTTAGGGTTTAGGGCTTAGGGTTATTTAGGGTTTAGGAGCAATACCTAAAGGATCATGGGGCTTAGTAAGTAGGGTTCTAATTTGATTGAGGTAACTGTTCTTATATCTGCTTATAACCCCAATTAAGGGACTTATAACCTTACTTACTAAGTCCCATGATCCTCCAAGTAATGTAGGGGCCCTAAGAATTAGAATAGGGTTTTTTGGGGGTTCCTTAAAGGGGTTCTATAAGGGCTACTATAAGGGTTTAGGGTATAGTAGGGGCCTTAATAACTAGAATAGGGTTTTGGGGTATACTATACCATATAATTAAAATAAGAAGCCCCCAAAACCCTATGCTAATTATTAAGGCCCCTACATTACTCTCCAGTTTTAGGGTCTAGGGTTGAGTGGATGAGGGTAGTCTCAGGCCAAGGTTCCGTTAAGGGTTCCACAAGAGCATTGCTACAGGTTCAGGGTTTAGGGTCTAGGGTTTAGGGTTTAGGTTCTACTGAGGGCTTTGTTCCGGTTGAGATTTGGTTCTCGGGCTTGGGGAGCTTAGGCGCTTGAGGTTTGTTGGGTTTGAGTAGTCAGGTGACATGTCCAAGAGAGCCCAAACTAATGAAGGAATCTCCGTCAAGTTATAGAGGGATCTGTTCATCTTGTTCATCTGATCTGCATTCCAAAGTTGGCGTCTCTGACTTCCGAGAGACGCCGAATGCCAGAATCCTGTAGTTGAGGATTGCCGTAAACTATTAAAACGTATCAAGGACTTCTCTCTAGCTCTGAGAGATCCCAAAGAGCCCAACAAACCATAAGTAAGGAAATCTCCTTAAGCTGTAAAGGGCTTTTCGGATGACTCCTCTTCGAAGATATATTTGGCTTTCGGGTGGGTTTCTGAGCTTTAGGGATTGGGGTGTGGGGTTTGGGGCCTGTGGGGTATGTAGAGGTATGCCTTATACCCCAAACAAGAAACCCTATGTCAGTTTTGAACTGTCGGGTTTTGCAAGCGGCTCAGGATGCTTCAGGACGTTTCGGTGACGGTGTTCGCTTGTTTAGGTGCCCTAAACCCTCAGCCCTAAACCATAGCGCCGGTTTTATTTTTTTGCCGTCTGGCATTCCGAAATGATCAGTCGAACCACCATACACCTTCAAAAGGTACCCTGATAGCCCCTTTCCGGTTACAAGGTAGCCATTTTAAACGCACTCTGACCATCCTGAAGCATCTCACTGAAGCCCATCCTACATGATGAGAATCTGTATGAAGTCCACCCTTAAGGCCTTTAAGACTTCAATCAAAGCCCTAGCGACCCTGAGCCCAAACAGCGAGAAATCCATAGCTCAATAGCTGCTTGCTTGCAGAAAGAGACCCTGGACCTTTATAGTATCCCTTGTAGTGATCTTTATAGGAACCCTTAGAGTGCCCTTTCTTGCGATCCCTTAAAGGAGCCCAAAACCCCTAAACCCTTAAACCGTACTTAAAGGATCGTGAGACTTAGTAAGTAGGGTCATGACTAAGGTAACTATACTTATATTTACTTATAGCCCCAATTAAGGGACTTATAACCTTACTTGCTAAGTCCCATGATCCTCCAAGTGGAGGCCCTGGATGAGTTCTCTATGCTCTGGTTGGAGATCTTCGAGCAAGGGATGTTGCCCAAGAACTCCCTGGAGGCCTTCCAGAGCGACGGTTTTGGATTTCGGGTTGAGGGTCCAGGGTTTAGGGTGCAGGGTTTAGGGTTTAGGGTTCAGGGTTCCGGTTTTAGCGTTCTGGATTTAGGTTTTAGGGTTCAGGGTTGAGGGTTCAGGGTTCAGGGTTTAGGGTTCAAGGTTTAGCTTGTCAAAGGCGGTGTAATGGGGCTTCTCGTTTTTGTTTGACACCGGGATATATAAGGGCTTCACCAAAACCCTAAACCCTAAACCCTAAACCCGAACCAAATCAGGCTAAAACGGTTTGAACAAGCAAGGCTTGATCGTGACTCTGGAGGGATATCAGCGGGTTAAGCAGGGTAAAAAAGGTTGTGCAGGCTTTCTGACGATACGTTTAGGATGCTCGTGGTATGATTAAGGGTTGCTGGCTTGGAGATGAGTCTTGGGGTGGGCAAATCTTGAACTGGTGGTTTACGGGAGTCGGCTTCAGGGTTTCGGGTTTAGGGTTTAGGGTTCAGGGTTTAGGGTTTAGGGTTTAGGGTTCAGGGTTTAGTGTTTAGGGTTCAGGGTTCAGGGTTTAGGGTTTGGGGTCCAGGGTTTAGGGTTGTCAGATCTCAGGGTTTTAGTTTTTTGGAGTACAGAAGGGCCGGCAACTAGGATATGCGGAGCGGAAAGCGACAGGACGGCTCCCAACACAGGAGACTGAACAGTAGCTGAATGATAAATAAGCGCCCCGAAGTTGGAGTTCCTGATGCGTGTAACATAGGGGCCTTAATAATTAGACTAGGGTTTTGAGCTATATTCCACCATCATTGCAATAAGGAGCCCCACGATAGTATAGGTAATTATTAAGGCCCCTCTCTTACCCTAAGGGTCCATGTACCTAAATGGTATATCCTTTGGCCTTGAAGTAGTCCCTATTTGGGTACTTTGGGGCCAAAGTCTCTACTATTTGGGTACACGGACCCTTAGGGTTAACGACTATGCGTCTGGTCTAAGGTTCTCTTCGGAGCAAGGAGTCGTAAAGCATCGAAATTCGCGGCCACAGATCTTCGGAGATACAGGTGGTTGGGTAGGTCTTCGGGTTTTTGCAGACAGATGCCAGAAAGAAATATCCCTAAACCCCGAAAGCCTTCCCTAAACCCTAAACTCTAAGCCCTGAACCCCTAAACCCTAAACCCTAAATCGAAAGAAACCCTGAAACTTGAAGCATCCTAAACTCCTACGAACTTGCAGTCTGAACCCTACTTGAAGCCTTGTTGGATGGGTTTAGGGTTTAAGGTTTAGGGGTTTAGGGTTTAGGGATTAGGTTTTGGGGTCTAGGACTATCCTATGTATCTATTCCAAAAAATGTCGGCGTCTGGTAGGTCCTGTGCGCGCTGACTGCTGCCAACGTCCGCGTGCCCTTTAAGATGCCGAAGAAGGAGGGGCCTTAATAATTGGGTTCTATGAGGGCTCTAGGATAATTACGGGTTCCACGCGGGTTCCCGATCCCGATGTCATGGGCTTCGTGGATTCTGTGCTTGCGCCTAAACCTTAACCCCGAGCCCTAAACCCTCAACCCTAAACCCTCAACCCTAAACCCTAAACCCTAAACCCTAAACCCTAAAAAAC